ATGTCCTTATAAAGAGGAAACCTCAAATTATATTTGAATATTGAGATTTCGCAGCTGAAAAGAAACAAAAACTTTACTATCTCACAGGGAAAATCACAACTTTTTAAGGCGTTTTTCCTCAAAATCTGTTTTTTTGTTGCTACTGCTCAAAAAAGTGCTTCAAAAATGTTTTTGGATAATATTTCAGACAGTTCATTGAAATGATACATTGATAACACATTTATTTGTTATTTTTTGACAAAATGTAGTTTTTGCAAGCGTTTTAATCAAAACCCTATATCTGCCTATTTCTCCATTCACAACTTTTAGACTTGATCCTCGTTTCGATGTGACGGCTCACATTTATTACCAGAAAAATATATATTTTGGTGGTTTTTCTGTAAGTAGTATAGCCATTTAGGAACATTTATTTCAGCTGAACAGTCCACAAAATTAGGACTTTCTTCTTGTGGGAAAAACTACCAGAAAATAATAAGTTCCTGTATTTTTTAGAAGTAAAATAAACAGCCAGTTTGAGTATTTTATTATAAATGTACAGTTCAGAAAATGACCATTTTTGGTGTTTTTGACATTTTGTATTTTGGGCACCAACAGTGAAGTCAGTGGTAGTGGTTTGGGATGGAGAAGTTGGACAATTTTAACCCATATCCAACATTTATAAATGCTAATATAAAAATGTTTCTACAGTTAGGTCCTTATATATTTGGACACTGACACAAATTTAATCTTTTTACCTGTTTACTGAAACATATTCAAGTTATAGTTATATAATGTACATGGACATAAAGTCCAGACATTCAGCTTTCATTTGATAGTCCCTCAGCACTATCGTTGTTTGACCTCAGTGCTGCATTTGACACAGTGAACACTGCATTTTGTTGAACAGACTTGAACATTCAGTTGGATTAAATGGAAAAGTACTCTCATGGTTGGGATCATMTCTGTCTGGAAGATCACAGAGGGTTCGTTTTAAAAACGAGCTCTCTGAGATAAAAACTGTGGGCTATGGGGTCCCACAAGGGTCTGTGCTTGGCCCCATGCTATTCTCTCTCTACCTTGTGCCTCTTGGTCTTCTCTTGCACCATTTTAATGTAGCCTTTCATTGTTATGCTGATGATATGCAACTATATGTCTTTTTCACTTGGAACCTGCACCGATCTATCTAACCTTACAACCTGCTTAACTGTATTAGAGGTTGGCTATCAACTATTTTCTTACTCCTTAATGCTGATAAGACTGATTTTATGGTTATTGGACCTTCAAAACGTCACCACCTGTTCCAAAATCTTAGTTTAAATATTGRTGGTCCTAACATTAGATGCAGGGGAAAAAACAAGAACTTGGGTGTGCTGTTTGACCCSACGCTCTCCTTTGAGTCTCATCTAAAGGAGGTAACAAAGATTGGTTTCTATCATCKCAGGAATATTACAAAAATCAGACACATACTCTCGTTTGAAAAAGCAGAGGTCCTCATCCAGGCTTTTGTGTCGTCACATATTGATTACTGCAACGCTCTTCTCTCTGGACTTCCAAAGAGAAGTTCTAAAGGCCTGCAGATTTAGAATGCAGCTGCTCATATCCTCTAACTAAAACTAGGAAATACGATCACATCACTCCGGTGCTGTCTTCTCTCCACTGGCTGCCCTGCCATGTTTCTGCAGATTTCAAAGTGTTGCGTCTCACCTATAAGACTAGCACCTCCCTACCTTTCAGACCTTCWCCTCCCTTATATTCCWTCTCRTGCTCTCTGATCTCAGGRCACTGGTCTGTTGGTAATCCCTAAGGTCWGACGTAAAACTATTGGAGGTCRTGCYTTTTTCTTTCGTGCCCCTTTATTGTGGAAGGATCTCCCTGCAGACATCAGACTGGTCTGCTCAGTGGGAGTTTTTTAATCTGAGCTAAAGACCCACCTGTACACTCTGTCTTATGTCTTAAATTTTACTTTTGTATTTTATCCTTTTTTGCCAATGTTTTACTTGTTCTTACAAATTCTTTTATATTGATTTTTACCTTTATTTTTTAATTTTTTAATTTTTT